AAAGGATAGGATCAAAATCAGCAATCAAAATCAGCAAGGAATTTTCCAAGGGATAGCTACTAATCAAAGAATCAATATGGAATTTCCACTGGCTAGATCAAAAACTGTCAAGGAATTTCCATGGGATGGGTTAAATTCAATAAAAATCTGCGGAAATTCCACGGGGGAGGCAAAAAATTCGCTTAAAAAATGTGGAAATTCCAGGGGAGGGGGGACCAAAAAATGGATGTCCTCAATAGGGGGGGGGGTTTGGTTTAAAAATGCAATGGCCCATTGCAAGAATCTAGCCCCGGTAACAGAGGAGAAGACACACTGAACGTTACATCTAGCTATTCTAGCCATCAACACTTCAAATCATAATTCTTTTTCATTTTCATTATATCACGTACCTGGATAGAACGACGAAGAAGCTTGGAAACTGCTGTCTGGGAGAGCTGCCACGTTCTTGTAATAACGACTCAGCCCTAACGAGCTTGCGCATGTGCCTGCAAACAAAAACGTAATTAAAGATTTAGCAAGCATTAAACTAGAAATTACTATCGCAAGGGAAGTGCTGCCTTACGCCCATACTGCGCCATTTGGTTCAATAATTAATTTATAAGACTTGGATGACAGTTGATAAGTTTAAGCTAAATGATTGGAAAACAGAGTTTTTAATAATTCGAACCGCTGCTCAGCTCAAAAAGGTTAACATCTCTAGTATTGTCATTGGTCAAGATGATGTTCCAGTAGTATCCTGTGGCAGAAATCTTGGTGTATGGTTTGATAACAAAATTAATGTGTCACATCATATAAATGAAACTTGTCAATCCCTAGTATATCATCTTCATAACATTAGACGTATATTCGAATGTTTTTAAGCTATGAAGATAGAAAGTCTGTGGTACAAGCATTAATAATGTCAAGGATAGACTATTGTAACAGTCTTCTATTTGGTGTCACAGATGTACATCTGTCTAAACCACAACGGCTACAAAATACAGCAGCACGTCTTATCTGTTCTATCCCTAAGCATGATCACATCACTCCGACCCTCATAAAACTACACTGGCTTCTTGTTCGATTAAGGATCAAGTTCAAAATTGCCACGCTTGCTTTTAAAGACTTTAAATGTAACCATCAGTATGCACATCTTTATCTTGTCAATCGTTTAAAAGTAAGAAAGACGTGCTAATGATATAGTTTAAGATCTCAACGAAGGCACATTGCTTGAAGACTATAGTACAAAAACAAAGAAAACACTCGGTGACACAACTTTACCTGTCGGAGAAAATGCTTCTATATCACAAATATCAATCCTGTTACATTGTACCAGACAATTTCTATAAACCCACTGGTCTGCTTCGCATCGACCATCGTTTTTCCAAGCTTCACAAAGTTCATTGCGATCGAGACATATCACACCTAGGAAATAAATAAGTACATAAGGAATGGCAGTTCATGGCTATAGGAGTGTCTAGGTACATGATGTCGAGGCAGTAGAGAAAGCTAGGAAGCATTCAAACATTGCTGCAGAAATATTGAAATTTAAGAGGCAATTTTTTTCAATGTCACGTATTTGCAATGAAAAGTGTTCGAAACCTAACATCTTTTTGGCGTTCCTCTCAAAATTACTTTGTTTTAGCTTTATTCTCTAGTTTATAGAGTTAGCAACCTTTTTAAATGCATCTGCCAGTTGAGAAACATAAAATAATAGTTAAAAATTGTCAATTAAAATACAATTAGCAATGATGCTTTAAAATTGACGCCATATTTACAGCCATATAAGCAAAACTTATACTGAACTTCAGACATCATTTTCTCTTTGGCGTATCATCTAAAATCTCTTCATATTAGCATTATTTTACAGATAAAGCACTAAACATACTTTTTAAGTTTGTTTGCCGATTGAGAAACGTATCGAAAAATAAAAATTTTGAATTTAGTCATAACCTCAAGTGGTATATTATACACATTAGTTTTGAGTGCGTGTTACGTAACATACAAAAAATCTCCTCTTAAATGTTTCCTGAAATGAATACAACCCCTCTTTGCCCACCGTTATAAATTGTTTCAGAAACAAAATTTGCTTCGTTGAAAGCAAAAATGTGTCGTGTGATTTTGTTCTGGGAACGATGTTTCCTAGCTGGTTTAGCCACCTTAGTTTATCCACCTTGGGGAAACATGATTAGGAAACAATGTTTCCTGGTTTTTCCACCTTTTGGAAACATGGCCAGGGAAAAATGTTTCCTGGTTCAGCCCACCTTTGGGAAAACATGGCTACGAAACAGAAAGCCTAATGGCTAGAAAGTCAAATGTTTCTGTAATTTAAACGCTTGGTTACCTTTGTAACCTATGCTTACATTATCAGGACAGTAATAACTAGGCATGTGAGTAAATATTAGCTAACCATATTGCTTTATTTTGCTCACATGAGAATACTGGATATCTGATGAAGAATATTCATTCAGTCCTAGGACTGGATCAAAATCAATTCACCTCACTTTAAGTAGTGATATATTCGTATGAGATGTCATTTCAAATCCTCCAATTAGGACTGGACTCCAATTTGATCAAATTGTGCGGACTTGAAATCTACTCCAGTCCTCATAGTCGGATTTGAAATATTAGCTAGATATGTTGGTGAGTTATCTGAAAATATGGTAGCTAGAAATGGTAGCTAGATATGTTGGTGAGTTATCTGAAAATGTGAATTGTGTGGCAGCAATGGACCATTTGCATTATAGACAAATTTTGATCTAGACAAGTCTAGACAAAAATTTCATCACAGCTTGAAAGAGCATCACAAAATTAGTAATATTCCAAAGTTGCGTTGCGAAATGTTGTAAAATGCGGATAATATAACCTTGCGAAGTTTGCCGTTTTTTCAGTCATTTTGTATTACGCACGGGAAATTGACAGCCCAATCGGGTGTTGGTGCATCAATTTCCCGTTTGTAATACAAAATGACTGAAAAACGGCAAACTTCGCAAGGCTATATTATCCGCATTTTACAACATTTCGCAACGAAACTTTGGAATATTACTAATTTTGTGATGCTCTTTCAAGTTGTGATGAAATTTTTGTCTAGACCAAAATTTAGTCTATAATGCAAATGGTCCATTGCAAGCACAAACACGCGGATTAGTGGATTAGGTCTATTCTGCTGTCTCTACATTTTTCAGTCAACGTACCAAAGTAATCTTTATCTGGACGAGTAATTATGGTGTTTTTTACTTCAGGTCGTACGGTGGTTGGGGCTACGGTGGTTGGGGCTGCAGTGGATGGCTGAGTTAGAGGTATAACTGTGGGATCAGTAGCTTGGAGGGTTGGAGGGTCTGTCGGTGGTTTTGTTGGTCGGGGTGTTGGATCTGAAAATAAGGTAAATGTAAGAATATTATTGTGCGCTATTAGATGCAGTTGATATAAACAATTTATCTTGCTTGTGGAAACACAATGATTAATGCATGTGGGCGTGTTGAAAAATCTGAAAAATCCTACAAAAATAGCTGAAAATCTCAAACTCTCTTGGAAAATCCACCTAAAATCTAGCCAAAAATATCCTTTAAAAATCTCGCAAAAAAATCCCTAAAATCCTCGCACGCTTTTACTACACCCTCGAATAAAGCTATTCAGCTAGAAAGTTAATTTCGTGTTCTTTTATCTCTTTATTTGAATTACTTTGTATTTTCACTCTGTACATCTCTGAAATCGCTGCATCAATGATCTTCCATCACAGGGATTGGAAAACCTACCTGGCTTACATACTCTGCACGTGGCCTTACATTCTCTTAAAGCAAAGTTAGCATTTCCAACACAGTCGAAATAGTCATAACGTTTGGGACAATTTAACGACTCGTCTATACAAGGTCCGCAGTTATCACAACTCTTCTTGCAAAACAATAGTAACGGCTCTGGGTTGCGGAAACAGTGATTAGCATTTGCCCACTCTGAACACAGCGGATGTTCATCAATGCAATCACGATCACGATCTAAAGTGGATAATATATAACTGTTTTAGTTGGGAACATTTATACTGAACAAGCCAAAGTTAAAGACAAAACTAACCGTCCTTTTTCTTTGCCAGATCGGGAGTATCGCCTAGAAAATAATAACAATAGAAAGTAATATTTATAATTAAGGGGCTGACTTAACCTTTTGTCCTTCACTAAATTACTTATTCGTTAAAAGGTTTGAATCCAGGTTCATTCATTCTTTGTTTGTTTTATTGTTCTTCTAGATTATTACAAAATTAAATAAGTTTTGTCTGACGTTTCGGTTTCCTATACGAAAACCATTTTCGAAGACTTGAACGTTTGTTCGTTTTATTTACGGATAAAATGAACAAACGTTCAAGTCTTCGAAAATTGTTTTCATATAGGAAACCGAAACGTCAGACAAAACTTATTTAATTTTGTAATAATCTAGAAGAACAATAAAACAAACAAACAAAAAAACTTATATTAAAGAGGCAATGTCACCGATTTTTTACCTAAAATGCCTTTTATTCAAAAACTGAACTACAAAGTTAAAAATAAACATTGTAAATGGATTAAGGTATGATATAAACAACTTTGAATTTCCACGCAACATGTAACATGACATTTTCATAAAAATTAACTAAAACTTGAAAAAGTGTCTGCCAACAATTAATCAAGATGCCATTTACAATCCATCTCAATCCTGACGTAATCTTGCCCATCCAGACTTCTGTACATGTTTTTTGTGTCTGTTATTGCTTTATTTTGTGCTTATACACTCATTCTTTTTCAGTTTTGGGCAAAATTTGCGAGGGTTAGAATTGCTCAAATATCGGTGACATTGCCCCTTTAAACTAATTTTATTTATTCATATACTGGATAGCTCTAACTACCACCTCTACTTGGTGAAACCGAAAGTACCAGGAGAGATCCGGCGGTGTTTGGTAGAGTCAAACTGGAAGCACTCTTCTCACATGTCACTGGAGGTAAAATTCCGATTATACGGTTAGCATTTCTATAGCGCAAAAGCATGTGGATATGATTCAATGCGCTTTACATCAAGTATAATACGCTTACCTAATTACATACCCGGCCTAGATTATTTTATCTTTACAGCAATTGAGATATTACTTTCTTAACCGTGTTTATCCTAACCCACCCTGTCAACTTTTCCTGTGGGAGGAAACTAGAGCACCCGGAGAAAACTCACGACTTTCGGCAGAGCGTTGACTGACTCTTTTCACATGAGTCCGTAGCGGGATTCGAACCCAAGAACTCAGAAGTGTGCTCTGAGGACTGCGACACCAAAGCCCCAATTATAATCATACGGCCGCATATTGTAGGAATGGAGGATTCTCGGTCCATGGGAATGGACCTTTAACCTTATAACTAAAATTTTGATCTAGACAAGTCTAGACAAAAATTTCATCACAGCTTGAAAGAGCATCACAAAATTAGTAATATTCCGAAGTTTCGTTGCGAAATGTTGTAAAATGCGGATAATATAGCCCTGCGAAATTTGCAATTTTCAGTAATTTTGTATTACAAACGGGAAATTGACAGCCCCAATCGGGTGTTGGGTATCAATTTCCCGTTTGTATTACAAAATTACTGAAAAACGGCAAACTTCGCAGGGCTATATTATCCGCATTTTACAACATTTCGTAACGAAACTTTGGAATATTACTAATTTTGTGATGCTCTTTAAAGCTGTGATGAAATTTTTGTCCAGATCAAAATTTTAGTTATAAGGTTAAAGGTCCATTAAAGACACATACATTAACTCATTAACTAACTCCTAGTTTACAGTTGTAATATAGGAAATTCGACGATGTATCTGGGACAACATTTTGTGATCCAAACTTACAATTATACATCTTGTTGGCTTGTGCGACATCAGAGTCACTCAACTTAACATAAGGTATTTTCCCATTCAGTCCTTGCAGTGGGATCAGTGTCTGCCGTGCACGATCTAAAGCGAACGCATTGAAAGGATAATGCATGATGCTTGCGTAATCATAATCCTCGCCATGGCTATCTGTTTTTGACGTCACCTTGTCGAAGTTGTACAGCAAACCTATGGAGTAATTAGGCTGTTAAGACATCTGGATTCTGGGGGCTCCACTGAAGAATATAGAAATAAGATGAGAAATGAAGAGGCCAGAAGAAGGTGTGAGGGATGGTAGACATTGCAGAGAAGGTGAGAAAACAAGGCTGAGATGGTGTGGACATGGAATTCTAAGAGATGAAGGAGAGCTGGTCAGAGATATTATGGAATGAAGGATCAGAAGATGTGGCGTGATAAGACAATATAGAGGTTCAAATTTGACCTCCACTACCACTACCTCTCACTACCTTAGTACGCATCTCATTGGTTAATTGGACATATCAAACGGATCTGATTGGTTAATGATCCCTTAATGGTAGCGGTAGTGGAAGTCAAATCTGAACCTCGCAATTGCAGAGAAGGTAAGGATAGCAAGGCTGAGATTGTATGGACACGTAATAAGAAGGAACGAAGGAGAGCTAGTGAGAGATATGATGGAATGAAGAGATCAGAAGATGTGGTACCGGTGTGGTAGATATTACAGAGAAGGCGAGGAAAGCAAGGTTGAGATATTATGGACATGTAATAAGAAGATATGAAAGTGAACGGATACATTATGGAGATGGAGACAAAGGAAAACTGAGGACGGAGGATAACGATGATGTGATGAGAAAGGTGGGAAAGAAGATTTAAATATCGAAAAAATTATGGTGGACATGATAAGGGAGAAAACTACGGAAAGTCTAGTTCTGGGAAGAAATCAAAGTAGAAGACCCAGAAGGGCTGTTCAAGTCATTAGAGAGATTCAGATTTGACTTCCACTACCGCTACCATCAAGGGACTATTAACCAATCAGATGCGTTTGATATATCCGATTAACCAGTCAGATGCGTACTGAGCCAGTGAGAGGTTGGTAGTGGTAGCGTTAGTTGAAGTCAAATCTGAACCTCTCTAATATAATTCGTGCGGAATATAAAACTTGCGCGTTGGCCCCTATCAAGACCGCTATTTCGCGTTGGGTCAGACGGACTATTAGCAAGATATTCAAAATAACACTTACTTGGTAGAATATTCGCAGGGACCACTCTTACATGCTTATCTCTGTCAGGTCGACTTTGTTCATGCCAGAAACCGATCACGTGGCCAAGTTCGTGCACCATCACGTGTTTGTACTCGCAACCGTGGCCAATAGAAACGAACGAATTTCTGCCACGATATCCAACATCAGACGCCCAGCAACTATAGAGAATAAGGTGAATTTTGAGGAGAAAATTCTTAATTAACTAACAAATTAGCCAACAAACTAGGCAATTAGCAAAGTATCTAATGACCAACTAACTAACCCGAATGTAAATAATTTATTAATTAATATTATTATTTATTTGAAAAAATTCCTGGTTTCTGATTGGCTAACAGCCAACTGTAAAATTGTCATATCAACTCAATGGCTAACCAAATACGGATTTTTCACATTCATATTAGCAAAATGACGTCAAAGAGTCAATATGAAAAAAATTTGGACGCGTTTGCGCCATATTACTGTGACGACGAGAATCATATTGACTCGCTGACACCATTGATATGACGCAACGACGGCTGCCAAAGGACTAAGGAATTGTTGTTTTTTTTTAATACAAATAAAATGCGAATGTTTGTTTTTAATTTTTTAAATAAATAATAAAACAATTATTGATTTCGGTTTTCGCACAATATGAAGAATTATCAAGCCCTCAGTTTGCCGTTATCAACCTAGTGCTCAGCCTTCGGCTGGGCTGAAGGCGGAACAGCCAGCCAGTACAGCGTGCCTATTGGCCAGAAAATGTCATTGACTGGCTAGGAAAATGGCGGCCAACATGCGTAATGCGCGAGGACAGAAACTTCAAAGCTTCCGACGTAAGTGCCCTTCTGTATGGATCTTTATTCTGTGGCGATACTCACCCGGCAGCTCGGAAGAAAGTAACGAAATGTTCATCACTTGGTTGTTTCGGAACAAATCTAATACAAGGAGATCTATCATGCCATGCCTTGATAGCGTCGTTCAGTGAGTTAATTGCGTCGGGTAGGTTTTCTGAAACGCGAAAAAATGGTACTATCATTTATCAAGTTTACGTTAATCTGAATTTACAAGTAATATACACAGCCGATGAGCGACCCTGTTGTATCAGATATACAAACTCGAAGCCGAAGCGTCATAAAAATTGGACGACACGGACGCGAATGCTGTGTTTTGCTTGTGAAACGCAAGGATTTAAACAAGGATGGATCCGGCGGGGGGGGGTGCTCTGCCAGCTCTGGTGCAGAGTTGTGTCGGTCATGTGCGCCGCCCGCCATCAACATACAGTAGTACTTGCTTGATTACTGTGTTTCTATAACTGTTGTTCGCAGTTCGCTTATCATCGTGTTATTACTCAAATTACTGTATCTCATTTTGTCTCAAATATTTTTTTGCTTTATCATGAAAAATAGCACCCCCCCAGTAAATCCATCCCTGGGTTTAAACAGTCGTGGTTTGGAACAAATTTTTAAAAGGAAGTGATTTCAACTGAGAAAAACGAGGAAAAAGATTATGGAAATCAGGAGAATTTTGCATATGCGGATACAACACCTCATTAAAATATTGTGTTCTTTTGAATTTTTCTCATAAATTATGGGGTTTTGCAATATAATTTACAGTGAACATGTTGTATATTATTTTGTATCCAATTCTTTTGTGCTCGCTCTTGAAAACGTCAGTGTGATCGACTTCATCGAAACTTACTTATACTGCAATCTAGGACATAAGGTATACGGCCGTTCTTCCAAGGTACGCCCACTGCAGCCGCCTCGCCGATTCTGTCGCCACCTCGGTCAACAATGTCGCCTTCACGCAATGTCATGTTAAAACCATTGAAATCGTAGGTTGGTGGAGGACTTGCCTTGTCTGTAAAATGGAAACGTACTTAAACCTCTAAAGATGATGAGAGTTGCAACTCCCGCTCGCGTTTGATTACCATCCTCATCGACTCTCGTCAACTCTCATTGACTTTGAACTGATATTGAAAAATTTGAATTCTAACGAGACTTGATAAGAATTTCTACTATCACGCGGTAATATCCTGTCAACTCTCATCAACTCCCATGCAACTCTTGTTCTCGTTTGGGCATGAGAGTTTAGAAAACTCACGTGCAAACTCTCGCTTCTCAATTCTAATCAACTCTCATTGACTTTGACTTGGGATTAAACTCGTCTAATATGAATCCCGGCGCAGACGAGTTTCCCGTCCGAACTTTCCCGTCTAACTTACCCGTCTAAACAGACGGGAAAGTTAGACGGGAATCTCATCTAGACGGGAAACTTGTCTTAAATTCGAATTTACCCGTCCCTAAATTCATATTCAGACGGGTTTTCGCAGACGAGTTTCCCGTCCCTAATATGAATTCGGCTATTTACATTGTCATGGAATTTTGAAAGACTCGGATAGGCTAAAACTATTGCCACATTTTTACATAAGGTCATAAAGAATCATTGACATTTAGGACCTTTTCATATGGGGAAAAGTTATCCCGGTCAGCGAGAAAACATTGGTAGTCGGTACAAACTCGGTAGTCGGTACACGGGAAAACTTTTCGTCTCATATGAATACAGTGTAACTTTTCATATTATTTTCATAACAAGGCGATATCAACTGGTCGAAATGTTTTCTCGATAACCGGGATAACTTCTTCCCATATGAACAGGCCCTTAAAGTGGCTTTAATTTAAAAAGGCGGCCTTGATGACAGGAGCAATAATACTTGTCAAAGGCAGCTCAAACTTACCATCCGGAAGCTCAAAAGGCCCAACAGCGACACAACACGAGATGAATAAGGCAGCGGTGAGCGCTCCTACGGTTACGATAATAGCTTTCATTGATCGTCTAAATAACATAGAATTTTCTTCATATTAAAATTACCGGAATGCAATTTTGATCAGCAGTGCGAAAATAGACGGAATAGTTTTCAGGAACCGACAGCCGAATAGCTCCTTTTTCGGATGGCATGCGGCCAACCATTCGTATAGTTGATCAGAATTCGATCAGTTAGACATATATTAGGTGGTTAGATTGAAACATAATGATATGGTTGAAATTGCTAGCTACTAGTTTGTTTTGGGCATATAGGTCAAGTATTGTGTATTTTCACCGCGCGGTATGCTAACGAGGTCTGGAGTCACCCCAGGATGCGTTCGATCAAGAATGTTGATATTATCTAGCATAGTCTGCTTTATAACGTTTCCAAATAGACAGCCATCAATACAACTTACTAATCACTTCAAAGATAAAGTAAATGCACGTCATATAGACGACATATTACGTACATGTTAATAGGCGTTTTTGGAACCTTTTCAATGTAACCGCAAAATAATTATATTCAGTATGCAGTTTATATCCCACTGGGTCTGAGCGCATTTGCAAAAGTAGCCGCAGAATGCCAGAATAAACATTTATTGATACAGGCACGATCTGTTCGACGCATATATACACAAGAAACAAAATACCTCTTACCTGAAGTAGATCTGCTTTGGCTCTTTTTACTTTAAGACCACAGTGTTCGATCTTAGAGCTGGATTGTCATAACCGTCAGTTGTTAAGGCAGCGCTACAAATGACTGAGTGGATCAATAGGCTGAGCTGTCAACAATATTATTCAGTCAAGCTGTCAGCAATTTTATAGGCTGTCAACACTTTTATTTCAGTGATTGATCATAATATTTCTACTAGGTCTAGGGCTGAACATCAGGGGTTGCGTCTGGCAATAGGCATATATTAACATTCCCCAATTGAAATGGTACTTCAAATATCATATTCTGATATTTACCCATACACCTTACATTGGCATTACTTTAGTATATATGAACTTGCGAACTTGCGGTTAGATCTCGACAACTGGCTTCCGTGCTCAGTTGGTTAGAGCGCTGCACCGGAATCGCAGGGCCGCAGATACGAATCATTCGATTCAGAAGGCCTATATATAGTTACATTTTTCGCAGGTCAAATTCCATCCGACAACCCTTCTTCAAATATGATAATTAACTATTGTGGCCCGACTATTTAATAAGATAACCTCCATACAGTTATATAAAAGCAGTCAGTGTAGAAGCACGCGAGGCGAGTAATGTGCATACAATCGCTTTGGTATAACTGTCACTCGCCTCCCGTCTTTCTACACGGACTGCTTTGATATAACTGTGTGGAGATTATGTTACGAAATAGGACATAGTTGGTCTCCCTGTGGTTCAGACTCTGATTTTCATTGTATTACTTGAACCACTTGGTCATTATTGAGTTGAGCGTTAAATACAAAGTGAAGGTTTCTTTGTTAAAAATTTTAATTTATTTTCGTATGTGCTTGCGTTTTTTGCTTTTAACTTATTACACCTTAGTTTTTTTGTGCTACACACAAACTTATTGAAATTTTAATCTAATTGATTGTGATGATGTGATGGTGGTAATGATGGTTATGTGATGATGGTGACGGTGACGGTGATGATGGTAGGTTGATGGTTGATGATGATGTCAGTAATGATAAAGTCGATAAGGTGACGTCAATGATGGTGGTGATGATTGTAATCGTTGTCGTGATGGTGGTGATGGTGATGTCAGAAATTAGCCATTCCGAAGTTGATGAGTGGACTGGGGACGAGTGTTAAAAAGTGCCCAAATTAAGAAATGAACTAAATCACTAAAAAGACCACCTCAAAATTAGTAAGTATACAAAGTTTGAAGACGTTTACATGAATACCCTTCGAATTATTAGCTTTCGAAAATTATGAAATTACTGATTAAAAGATTTTCTTTTTAGTAACGACCAGAAGGCTTTTTTTTATAACAAATTTAATAAATTGTAACAACGTTTCGGAGTTTACTCCATCATCAGGTTACATTTATACGCACTAAAAAAACCCCGTTAAAGCATGTTATTAGCTCTTGTGTATGCGCTTGCGTAAACATATAAAAAAATTGTTCTAAAGATAATTGTTATAAAAAAAGCCTTCTGGTCGTTACGAAAAAGAAAATTATTACATTTAAATGAGGCAAAGAGAAAGTTCGCTTCTAATCACATTGAAGATTAAAAGATTGTTTTTGGGACGCGCGTCCCCAAAAACAAAAATTGCAATACATTTCATAGTACTAATATCGGATTTTCGAAAGCTTATTACTCGAAGGATATTCATGTAAACGTCTTCAAACTTTGTATACTTACTAATTTTGAGGTGGTCTTTTTAGTTAATTTGGGCACTTTTTAACACTCGTCCCCAGTCCTCTCATCAACTTCGGAATGGCTAATGATAAAGGTGATGTCAATGATGGTGGTGATGTCAGCAACATTTCAGTAATGTAAGGGTGATATGTCAATGATGATGGTGATGTCAGTAATGTAAGGGTGATATGTCAATGATGGTGGTGATGTCAGTAATGTAAGGGTGATATGTCAATGATGATGGTGATGATGGTAGTGGTGACGATGATTCATATGGTGCCCATGATGGTGACAATCCAACCACAAATACTGCACAATGTCGATACCACAGTTCCTTACAGTGCAGTTTCTTTATACAGTCAACTCTCGTTATAACGGACACTCTGGGGACCGTCAGTTGGTGTCCGTAATAGCGAGGGTTATTTCAATACATATCTCAAACTCATTGATAATTCATGAGTAAATTAGCCAACCATATTGCTTTATTTTGCTCACATGATAATACTGGATACCTGGACTGGATCAAAATTAATTCACCTCACTTTAAGTAGTAATTTATTCGTGTGA